CCCCAAAACCCCAAAACCCCAAAACCCCACAATTAAAATATGAGAATTTAGGTGCAAATTTTAATAAATATATAATAATCTAATATGGCAAAATGACACAAGCTACGAGATAAAAATTGGACAAAAGACATTTTAGGCATACAAGATTGGTTATATGTGAATGATTTTATATATATTATTTTACGTAATAATTGATCAACGAACTAGGCTTTCTTGTTTCTACCTATCTTATTGATCTGTGGTGGTTATTGTCGACCCAATGATCGACCATCTTCTAGTCTGTCACTCGAATGGCTGCTAAGCCTATTCGATATGCTCTTTTTTCTTTTCCAACAACTATGGCACTAGCGCATTTGTTCTCTTTCTACCCATCGACCATTAATAAGATGTCTTGATTTGCCTTGTTGTAGGATTCTTATCTTGTCTTGTCGGTGTTGTCTTACCTGTAGCTGCTGGTGTCTTCTTATTTTGCCCTGTTAGGTCTGTTGCATTAATTTGCTTCATTTGGATAGTCTTTCTGGACAGAGCTTACAAAAACTTGAATGCGTTGAGTTTGTATGTGAGCTCGGCTTTAGCGTCTATCAGGTCCACATCCTTAAAGGATACTCTATAGCACTTGTCACCGAACCTACCTACTCTGTAGAAGCCTTGTATTGCTTCTCTTTTATTCAAAAATGATTTAGCTATCAGCAATGATATAATGATTCCGTCAACAGATGACCTATAGTCAAGACCTCTCATGGAAGCTGTTGTGAGAGCCACCACTACTCTGAACTTTTCATTAACTTTCAGGCCGAGGGTTCTCAAGATCTGATGGTTTACATTCTCATCAGCCTCTATCAGCTCTAGATCAAGCTTCTTAAGTTCGTCATACAGTGTAGTGGTACAGTGAATAACAACAGGTCCAGTTTGAGAGAGCTTCTTAACTTCAGCAGCCTTTTCAGTGACAGGCATTGCTGGTAGCTCAAAGTCAAAATCGAACTTTACTATTCACTCGAGAGCATCAATTACATAGTAGAAGGTTGGGAATGTCATTGCTTTAAGAACTTGTATATCTACATCTCTAGAATCTTGGTCATCTGGAGTGGCTGTGAAGCAAACACATAAACACTTCGATATAAAGTCTCTGAACTTCTCAGGATCACTGTGCATGATAGCGTCGCCTTCATCAAATATTGCGAGTTCATTATCTCTGACTACTACACCATCAATTCCAATGCAATGTTGTATCTGATCCTTCTCGACAAAATCTAGATAGGTTGAGAATTCATTAGCATCTCTATCGCAGAGCTATTTAGAAGGGTAGAAGATATAGACCTTTGAGAATCCAAGCATCAATGCGAAAACAGCTAGTGTATGCTCGATTCTACCTTTACCTTAGCCAGAAGGAACGCACCACATTTATCTGTTATGAGTCCTGAGCAAGCCGAGACAGTATTAAGCTAACGCGAACTACTTATTGTTGGGAGGATTTAACACAACTTTGGTAAAGAACTGAAAGCGGATATCCCCTGCAAGTGACAGATCAGTAGCAAATTTAGGATCTGGCTTCCAATACTTGGCGATAAACTCATCGAGCGATTTCTGTATGGTATCACAATCAATAACTGTGGAAGTTGCATGCGCAAGTTCAATCTATTCTTGCCATTTGGCGACTGATATTTACAAAAGAATATCACGGATTGAATGTATAGCTGTAACATATGATTATGTCTATAGCAGCCATATCAACTCATTGAGCATATTAAAGGTAATCTTCATCTGTTTAGGGGAGCTTTATAGAGTGGCAAGTAACAATTGATAAGATTCATCAGCATTCCTTACAAACGCCGATATAACGTTGATGTATTCCTCTACATCACCACCAACTTAAGAACAAAGAGAGACCATAAGGACGCTGTCGTCAACAGCAGAAGGGCTGTTCATAAGGGATTTAAGCAATGCAAACTAATCCTCCTCTATATAGTTCCAATATGTTGAGCACCAGATACCTATCCGGCTGTCATATCGTTTGGCAATCTAGAACTTAAACTATGATAAAGTCTCTGTTCTTAAAGTTAATTCCATTTGGCTCAGAGTTACGATAGCTCTTACCCATGAGGTGTGGCCTAAAGCAAACGAAGTACGCAGTAGCCCCAAGACTTAAGCAGGACTGAGTGACTGCGCACACTCCAAGACCTTGTTGATGCATTCTACTACTCAAATGTTAACACCTTTAGAGAAGAAATCAATTACTAAGTCTTTGTTAAACTTGCTACAGATGTCTTATATGACTGAAGCATTTATATAAACGCTTTTAGTATTTGTCTCAATGGCTTTGAGTTGCCTGACTACATCGACTTCATCGTGGGCTTGTTCTATTACTGCCATATGTACAGCAGTTTTCTATCTTTTATAAACGTTTTACCCTATAGAAGCAACCTTACTATCATTATCACTGATGCTGCCATTAAGTTGTCATGAGGTAGTTTATTGGGGAAGTTTATTCAAAAGGATGGACTTGAGACTTCCTTTTTCGAGTCCCTTGACTGACCCTCTACAAGATTTCCCATCTAGGCAAAACACACAAACAGATCTATTCTTAGCAGGAAATCTATCATAGCGTCTCTCTTCTTCACACACTGTGCATTTATAGTATTTAACCGGTAAAGGCTTAAGTATTGGTCCTATAAAAATAAAGGTTAAAATTTATCGGGTAAAAAAGAGGGCGGTCCGGGTAAAAAAGTGGGCGGTCCAGGTACAAAAAGTGGGCGGTCCAGATAATTACCTCATTTACAATAAGTACAATCATATCCTATGCATGGCTTGTATTATACAACCCCCTTACTATGCTTGCGTTCATTGTGTACATACCAGTTGTTCCCTTTGATGAGTTTACCACCACAGTCTCCGGCAATACAATGTTTATTGAGGCAACCGTTTGAGGGCTTGGTCGTTATCTTGGACTTGACTGACTTCTCATCACTCATTACCTCCTCATAGTCAGTATCACCATCTATGACATTTTTAGAAGTCATAATAGCAGTGGTAGAAGTCTTAGGTAAAGGTTTAACTCTGGTTTTAGTCACCTATTTTATTGTGGCGGCAACTTTAATGGTAGAGGTGTCAATTTGAACTGGCTTTTGCTTCTTAGCAGGTGCAAGTCCAACGTCATCGTCATCCGATAAAAGTGATGAAATATCATAATCGAATGCACTCTTCTCTCGTAATGGCTTCCTAATCTTCTTTGCTACAGCCTGTTTCTTATCAACAGTCTGTTTAACTGCTGCTATTTTTTATTTTACAGCACTTTCAGGAATCCTTTCCTCTTCATTATCATCTTCCTCCATGGTTAACTCAAAACACATCATTTTAGTTCCCCTCTCTGCCCATGAACTAAATGGTGCTTCAGCTAGACTAAAAGAGCACTTCTTATAGAAGTTAACAAGATTAGTGACACACTTGCTCAATGTTAATCCTCCCTTGAGTTGGCTAGCTTGAATTGTTTCCATTAAAGCAAGTATATATTAACCCAGAGTTTGCCTAGCAAACTTCTTTAATCTGTGCTGTTTATGAGTGGCCAATAAGAAGATGAACCCTATCACATGTCAACCGATGATAAACGTCTTATATACTAGAGCGCATACTATCTCATCATCTACTATGTGGAGTAAAACATCCCTCCTAGCTATATCTTCCTCACTCAACTTGTTGGACATGTTTAACTTGAAGAACTTTAAAACATCTTGAGACTTTAAATCTCCATTGTAAGACATTGTTTTAAATCTTCTATCGAATTCTTCATTTCGTATGAAGTATTTATCTATATCAATTGTTCTTGCATCTATTTCTGTATCGTTCAGAGTTTTATAAATCCTATCTAACTCAACAGAGTACTTATTCCAGTACCCGGCTTACATACTTAAAATTATAATAACTATAAATGATTTGCTAATTAAACAACAGCAACCCAACTACAATATTGCCTGATCAAGAATTAGAGATATCGAAAAGTCAGCCTTTCTAGTCCTTTGTAGATACATAAATGGAAACTTTTGGCCCTAAAATTGAATTTCCTGCACTTTGAGACCCTCTAAGGTATAAAAAAGGGTCATTTATTTATCCAAAAAGGGTGTTGAACGTTTGCGCGTGTTCAGGGACGAGCTTGGCTAGCAACCACTATAAAGTCCATAGCCGCAGTCTTGGCACCACCAATTGCTATTATTATTATTAAAGAAATATAGTACTTATGTTCATTTTGAAAACTAAAATGAGGCATGATCTCATCCTTTAAATCTTCAACATGTTTCATTTTAATTTCCTCATCAACTTGATAGTTTCGGAGGGTAAGTATTGTTAACAGTTTGATAAGATTTATAAAAAAACTGTTAATTGATTGATCAATGCCAATAATACTAAAGCAAAGTACAAATTAGGTTATAAATTACAAGGTAAGTGAAGGGTCACAGGTCTTCACTCTGCCACTCTCCACAGACTGAGAAAAGACAAAAGAAATATATTTAATAAATTTAAAAAATAACCTCCCATATACAAATCCAATTTATCAAACTTGTGATTCATTTGCTTTTCTAGATAGTAATGATATGCACGAGCAAATTTTTCTTCACTATCAAGTTGGTCCAGATAATTTTTACCCGTGCTTCTGTATTCTTTGCGTTGTTCATTTCTGCTTTCCATTATTGGGAATAATCAAGGAGTTCTAGTCCTTTGTACTTTTTTAAGCAACTTAAAGGAGTGAATAAATATCCTACTATAGTTTTTCCACCATCTGTCTATAGCTTCTTCATAATCCTACTAATAATGTCGTCTCTTGCTACTTTTAAACTGAACTTGAAGAACTCAATATTTTTTTAGAAAATAATTTATTAAACTTTAAAAATAATATTTTGAATTCACCAATATATATCGAATCTATTAATTAATTGTATCATTGAATCAAAATATATAATATCAAATAATATATGCAAGCAACTGACGTTAAAGTCAAAATTGTATTCGCTGACTCCTCATTTGTGATGGTTAAAGTGCCTTATCACACAACTCTCAGTGACTTAAGAAAAAACAGCAATCTTAATCCTCAAAACGAGCTTGATGGGTTACAATTCAGTCATGATGGTAAAACAGCTTTCCGTATCTCTGGAGAAGGTATTACTTTGGAAGACATTGGGTTCAAGCAAGGAGACTCACTTTATATGATGGGAGATGCCAAACCACAGCCATCTGCTATCAGCAGTGTCATTATCATTTTTGAAGATTCTACCTCCAGAAAGCTTAGTGATCTTAATCCATCAACTACTCTGGGCGACATTAGAACCATTTTGACAACTAACTCAAAGCTCAGCTTAGATGACAAGCTCTTCAGCGTTGATAATGCAATAAAGTTCAGTAGAGATGGGGAAGATATCCTTTTATCTCAGACAGGGTTGACCAATGGTGGGAGTATCTATGTTCTGGGTCCACAGTCCAAGCCTTCCATGCCTCTTGGGGATGTCATCTTAAAAGATCCCACACTCAAGGATCCTAATTTGAGGCAGGTTGATCCTAGGCTATCGCAGAGCACGTTAGACATAAACTTAAGACCTCCCCCTGGAACTTCTGATTTCACATTTAAGAGAGTTCAAGTTACCCAGGATGACGTGATCGCGCTCATAAATGGTGCTTACTATGTTTATGGTAGAGTGGTTACAAAAGACAATTTTAAAGTTGCTTAAAAACCATTATTTAAGACTGGGCTGGCACCACAAATTAACAACACTTAATGGTATGATACCAACTAAGAGTCTTAGATTGTGACAGAAGTCTAGCATACCTTTACGAGCCACAGATCTTTTATGTAAGGGGTTACTGAGGCCTAACTGTCTGTTGTAATTCCAGAAATTGCTAGCGCCTCAAGTAAGTTTAAAACATCTTCTTCAACGAGCACTGACACTGTCGACGAAACAATATGGGCCACAGGAAATTATTTGTTCCCACTCATCAATGTGAGACTCAATGAACTTGGCAGGCAAGTTAGCGAAGAATTTAGATCATTTTTTAACAATAAGGAAATCAACAAAACAAGCATAGAACTATTCTTTGACACTTACGGGCATATTGTCCCCACTGAGATGAAATTCGGTGGGAAATTGACCACTTACGAAAAACAATCCTTTTCGTCGTAAGTACAAGAGGAAGAGAAGTCCGCATCCATTTCTGTGGGACTTTTAGCGAATGTGAAATAGTACATGACAAAGATTGAAGCTAGTTTAAGCAATGCCTCTGCCTCCTTGGCAACATCAAACTAGCAAGAATAGTCATTTTCAACTAACTTAATATGTGAAGGTGGTGACATAGGAGCAATATACATGCCTTACCAATGGTTGATGTCCTTGAGACAAGGCACTACTTTTTGGCAAATGATCGCTATTTCAGACTTCAAACCCATCCAAGACTTTTTGGAACCTAGCATTAAAAAAAAAATTGACTAATACAATGAAAAGAATAGAAACGCTGCTAGAATAGTGGAACAGTAGGAGCAAAACGAAATAGATAATTGGAATAGATCAATGAAGGCCAACTTTGCCAAAATAGTAAAGCACAATCTCGCAAATACCGCAAGAAGTGTGATTTGCCTCCTTACAAACACTACGAAATAAGAATTTGAATATGTTTCCATCAAAGTATTACATGGAGTAATTGATAGATTTGTTTCTGACCTTGGCTATTAATTTAAAGCTCCATAAACGCTCTTACCAGGTAGATCATATGTTTTTGAAGCGGGCAGCAGTGGCTTCATGACAGGTTGTGAGTGCGAATGGGTGTACAAGAACAAAAAAAGTGGAAAACTGCTAATTATTTACTTTGAAAGGTCCTACAGAGGAAATGCCTATGCTGAATTCAAATATGGCACCGAAAAAAGAAATCTAGTAGAAGACAAAAGTTCTACTTCTACTAACATGTCAGGAATTCATGATATTAAATGACCTGCTGATATCGATCACTAACCTGAAGTGAATTGATGATGAATTACACGCTTAATTTTAGTTTAAAAGAATAAAAGAAGCCAAAAGCTGTTTAAGTCCAATAAATTGGAGTCTCTGTTTGTAATTCTTTCATTATTTTCATACTTATAAGGGCTAATCTTTGTTTTTAATATTTTCAATCAATTTCTCATTAAAGCTTACCTAAGAAGACATTGCATGAAATTTCTAAGCTCTGTTCCCATGTTTTACCTTTATCTCTTATCTTAATATAAAAAGTTTCTATTAGCATTAGCGGTTTCTGGGCTTTGGTTCAAACTCAGCTGTCCAAAACAATGAACCTCCCCCTTTGAAAATTCATGCACCCCTACCTTTGGTTTTTTGCCATTTTTTTAATTTTAGCAATCCTATTATTATATGCTTTCTATTATTTTTGTGTATTCTGAACAATGGGGTTTTGGGGTTTTGGGGTTTTGGGG